CGTGATATGATAGCTCGCCAAATAAACAAGATAGACATGTTTAATAGACTTGGCCCTTTTTCGGCAAGCTTCACTTGTTTAGATATTCATGTTACATAATACACATTTAAAAACACAGGAAGGAGGAACAGCCTACATTATAAATAACTGACTAAAATTATTAAAATTTGCCTGCATTTTCAAGCAGTTGAATCTAGAGAATACGTTTATTTATGTGAATTAAATTAGTACTGAAAATAAAATTAATACATTACAAATAACGGAAATATTTTATTTTGGATTTATTAGATTGTATAAAATACACTATGGCTATCTGATTACGAGCAGAGAAGCTTTTGTAGAAAATTTTCTTAAGGTAAATTGGTTTGTATTCACTTATGATCCATGGGGGGAACTATGAAAACGAACACGCAGCTTCGCCAGAACTTCAATGCAAACTACTACTGAACTGCTTCGAACTACTTATTGTTTGGTAGTATTATCCATTCAGCAGCTGATAGGCGCAAATAACGGAAGAATGCAAATTATTAGAAATTCAGAAATTAATTTATAAATAACTGTAACATCATCTCTGTTATCATTACTCTTTTTCTGTACATTTTTCTCTTTCTTTTCGGAGGACAGTTTTGTTTTAAGTTTCTGATTTGTTGCCCCCCCCCCAATTTTTCTATCGTTTCGTAATAAATAAACAGGATTTTTTTACACAGGGTTCGGTTGGTTACAAGTTGATTGTATTACTTACTGGTAACCAGTATACGAATGATTTCCATTTTCGTCAGAAGCACGTTGATAAAGTCAAAGTTTGGGGTATTAAAATTTCGATCCTAAATTTAACAAATAGTCGCAAATCTTTAACACCTAAAAAAGCAAGTAATGTGTAGGAAAAATAGTCAGGTTTCCAAATGATTGAGAATATTTTAGAAAACTCATTCAGAAAACTGATCCGGCGTGAAGAATTTCGACACTCTCTTATTTCATGATGTTGACGATAACAGTTATAGTCAAAAAACGTAGTAGCTAGGAGAAAAAAGTAAAAGAATATTTCTTCGGCATTTTATCCTTTTATCGGATATTCCCTTCCGTTCCGCATTCCCTCGATTCAAGAGGGAAAAGGGAAAAGGTTCCTCAATTCCAAAAACACTCTTAGAGGAACTCAGTCAAAAGAAAAAAGACGACTAAGAGGAAGAGAAAAAAAGTAATAAAAGAATGGAGATTTATGACAAAGTAATAGAGATGTTCTTAGACTGTTGACTTCAGTTGAATAAGGATTACAAGTTAAGGCATAAAAAAATCGCATATATAACGAAACAGCCTGCAATAAGAATGATTTCAAGTTTTTCTGCCAAAACAAAGAACAAAGCAGGATTTGCAGAATTTTAATAAGCAGAACGTATCATTTTTTAAATTTGTCTCTTCCATATTGCAAAACAAAATGAGTGTTAATTTAACATGGACCATTTTGTGATTTTTTTAATGTCATTCCCTTCCATTTTCTACGTGATCTGATATATTTCTAAGTCGCTAATTATCGAATGAAACATGTTTAGTTCTTTTAACAATGAAACTTTTTCTATTTTCGAGGTTGAGGGGGATGAAAGTGATCCTGTCCAAATACAAAGTCTTATTTTTCAAGCAATTTAAATAACTCGAAATGCTTCCTCATTTCAACATGAGATGGTAAAATTTCAAAAACCGATGAATATCTAACAATATTTGTTGTAGCGCCAAAAAGCTGCTTTATACTTACATCATTAGAAGCTGATTTCCGCACTTCCAAGGTCCAATTTGATTAATGTTTTGGGTCTCAGGTAACAAAAAATGCTATGAGTAGCAAAACATTCAACTAACATGTCTTGGAATAAGAAAAAATGTTAATTTAAGGATATCAAATAATCTTTATGAACGGATTTACTCATAGAACATCACTGAGATCAACAGCAAGATTATACAATAAAATTCAATATCTTATTCGGATTATACTTTTCTGAAAAAATACTTTTATTATTAAATCTTATGGATATAAATATACTGTAAATAAAGGCTAATGTAAAAGTTCACGTAAAGAAAAAAATACACGTCAGTACTCAGTGACACTGTCTATATTCAGAATCTGTCTATATGTCCGGAAGATAACAGCATGAAAATATATATACATTCGGAAATCTCATTAGTTATTTCACTAATGAATTTTATTAGACTAATAGCGAGATGCATGCGGTATTAGGGCCACCAGTTGACAGACATTGCCCAACATTATCATTACAGATAAAAGTTCAACGGCGCGATTAATCCTTTATTAAGTTCGCGAGTAAATGATCATATGAGTTTGGTACGTGATGTGACACTTCCACTCATACAAATGGAAATAACAGTCGTAACTAATCAGGAACGAGGACAAACTTTTCCACGTAGCCATGAGAAACAATCATCAGGCTAAGATCACTTGCATACTTTTTTTAATTATGTCTAATTTTGATACTCTGATGGCTGCTGTCAGATGTATTCTAGCGTTTCCGCCCCCACTTTCATGAAATTTTTTAAAAATTTATGTAAAAATGAATTTTTTTTACGCAACATCCAAAGTGAAACCCTATGCAATCCTCAACCACCGTTTAAAACCGCGGTTTTGCATTGGAATATAACTAAGGATATACGATCAAAAATTGGGGATTATAATTAATGGTATGTGATGCTTTGAACACTAAAGACCTAATGATTTGTAAAACGAAAAGAGGAAACAAAAAATGTTTTAACGACAAAGCGGAAATTCCAGCACTTTTATTGCCAGTCAGAAACCTGAGAAATTATAAATGCTTACAAGACAGATTTGAGATATTTATCATTCTTTGCAGAAATGCACGCTATCATGTTAAAACCTACATTTATACATTCCAATAGCCTAAAATTTTGCTGAAGTAGATAAATAATCAAAATCATCATTCCAAGTTGTTGAAAGATAATCAAGGAATGTATTTTTGTGCAGAAGTGTCATTAAATTATACAAAATCCCGTCTACCGGTAAATCTATCTTTGTGCAGAAATCTCCCAAATTTCAACTTAGGCTGAAATGTCGTTAAAACGTTTGCTATACAAGATCAATTAAGTTCCATTATACGAAGATGGGTTTTTATTTGTAACGCCATGACTTTTGCAATCAGTGTAATGTTCATTATTGTGGTAGACACTGCAAAATTCATGTCTGTTAGACGCAATCATGAACTATCGTACTCTATCGTGAAAAAATCTCATCTTTCATTACAAAATCGAAAAAATATGAACTCAAATCAGACAACATATCAATCAGACAGAAGTTGCATTTCTAGCTAGTTGAATATTAGTTATGTGGTTAATCGGTCATTGCCATAGGTATCAAACTCAAACATTTGTTGTTGCAATAGCCCGGAACCATAGATTGACCACTGGTTGTTGCCATAGGTATCTAGCCGACGGTCTCCAAAGGAGATTTTCGGCTAGATATCTTATACTGAGAAAAATTTTCAAAGAACTAATAATTTCCACGTCCAAATACCAATGAATACATGCATATTTCTTGGATAATTAGTCAGAGGTGTTCACTATGTTAGATTAAATTGTGAGAATGATTACAGAAATATAAAAACTTCATGGAACCATTTCAGAATATCAGTAACAAAAATCGAAGTTTCAGTCGACTATCGCTCAATGAAAATTTTTTTTAGCCTGGTAATTAGGGCTTAATTTCTAAAATTAGAAGTGCCGGAGCCCTATGGAAGACCGTCAGCAAAGAGAAACAAGAGTAAATAAATAAATAAAATGACTATTAAACTCATTAATAATTTTAAAATTAAATAGTTAATTATTATCAAATTAATTGATAGCTATTTAATTAATGTTTATAAATTGTTATTTGATCAATAATTATTATATAATTAAATAAATTAAAATTAAATTAAAGAGATAAATTAAAATTAAATAAGCGATTTTTAATGTAATTTTATTGCTAAAAATAAATATAGATAAAAATATAGATAAAATTTCTACTGAAAATGTTAATCAATTACATAAAAGAAGTGCCGGAACCTTCTTATTTAGGGCTCTGGTGCACTCCGCCTAGAATTATGATTTATTACAAAAACTAAGACGCATCGGAGCCGGAATTCGGTGGGCTCCGACGCAATTTAAGCTCTGATCGTAAAGCTAAAAAAGTTCTTTTATCATCACAAAAATTAAATATACTAAAAATATAGCTGATAAAAATTCAGATAATGCTAAAAAGAGGGCGAAACTGAATGACGGCGTGAGGGTATGAGTGGGTGGAAACAAAAATTGCGGGGAATTTTGGTGAGAGAGAACGTACTCTTTGACCGCGGATCTTTGCTGATGTAATTATAGCCATCAAGCGGATGTGTGTCAGGGGTAAAATGAGTTCTGAATCTGACTCCTAAGGATGAACGCAAAGTTGCTGGTTACGCTTCCCCCCCCCGTATTACATCAGTGGATACTCTGGAAAGACGATATATAGGATGTGCCTGAGCAGTTTATCTTAGTATTTCACTCTTATTGTACTCGCTGTCACTTACGCACATTTAAGAACACAAATTTTAGTTCCTGAAAGGATAACTATAACCATCGATAAGAATACACTAGATACGATGGCATGACGAGAAATTTACGCGTTCCTAAACAAATTCCTCCAAATTTATTGCCCTTCTTAAAGGGATAGGTTTCCGTATATGAGTGAGGGGACTTTACTTGAACGTCTCATGTTCTCATGAGCTCGTATTTCTAGAGAAATATAGTATTGGAAGATCTGCTTATTGTTAAACTAAAACGTTAGGAATTCTAATTTTTCTTTCCTTGAAATTGCGGCTCAGTTTTATAAAAAGAAGTATCGGAGCTCTTATTTAGGGCTCCCGTGAGCTCCGGCTAGAATTGTAATTTATCTTAAAAATTCAGAAGTACCGGCGCAATTTAAGCACTGCTGGTAATAATGGTAAAGTTAGACGTAAAAGCTCACTCACCAGCTACTTCAAGCGTAGCATTCCTGCTCCTGGCTTTGCCTAACTCATTAGTAGCCACACACCAGTAAGTGCCAGTGTCCTGTTCTCTTTTCGTGTGAAGCACATGTAGAAAAAATAGAGCTCCACTAGGCAGCTGCATTCTGTTGGCGGCGTTCCTCACCCGATTTCCCTCATGGTACCACTCGATGGACGGTTCCGGTTGACCTTCTGCCTTACAATTCAATGTCGCAGGCTCGTGTTTGCGGACTAAAATGTCCGATGGATGTTCCGTAATTCGAGGAGGACGAGGAGACTGACCTGAAAGAAGAAATTAATTGTAATTAATAATACAGTAAATAATCATTGGAAGAATATAGCATACACTAACATTTCTTAACATGTTTATATATAGTCAGACACTAGTGTGAGTTTCCATCATTCATCGTATTGTGGATGTTCACAGTGATATTTCCTTTTGGACATCAGCTATTCGTAAAGGAAAACAATTGAAATTCATTTAATTCCTTAAATTTTATAAATGTATCAGTAACTGTAACATCTGGCCATGTACAAGGTTTCACCTCAATTACTTTATGCTTGCATTTTGTTGCACAAAATATATTTATTAACCTAAAAGTAATCTTTAATTTCGTAGTTTAATTCTCCAAATTACCCCGCTAGTGACAGTTTCATCTTCCTTCCAAATAATCACAATAAAGGAATAATTAATTTGAAAAGAAAGGGACATTTTCTAAATTTCATAAAATGTCCTGAAAGATTATTGAACATCGAACACCGTAATGCCTGCGAAAGATTGTTAGAGAGTAATCTTAAGTTTCTAGGTTGCACATTTTTATTTATTATATATATTCTTCTTTTTTCATTTGCTGAAAGTAACAGAAGATTCTGTACATGCTTTAGAAGGCGAAAATGCAAGAAGCTCAAGTCACGTCATACAACATTCTTAAGCGTTTAATGCATTCATTAAGACTCCTAATTTAAATTTACTTACCAGTACTGACGTTTAAGGTCAAAGGTTAATAATGGTCACTGGACTAGAGAGGAAGGGATACTTTTATTTTGTTTCGTCTGTCTGAAAACATGTGACGCAAAGCAGATCCACACATGTGCATGCATGACAAATCACGCGCCTTTCTTTTTCTTTTTCTTTTTTTTTTTTTTTTTTTTTTTTTTTTTTTTTTGAACAGCCGTATCACAGCAGCGATAAACGCTTAAACAGTTCGCCTTTTTTATTGCCTAAAATAGGCGGGGCGGAGGGAGGGGGAGAAAATCATGAATGGACCTTATTATACTAAATTTAAAAATAGGAAACGAGGGACGGAAGACCATGGAATTAGGGAGGGAAGAAGACACTGAGAGATTTCACCTGGCAACACGTCACACGCGATTAAAATTAGAAAAAATACAAATATAGAATATAAAAGGTTTATGTTTATGCAGCGTGGAACGACTTCAGAAAGGGGGATTGGAAAGGAAATAGAATGATAGCACACAGCCGAAAAGAATATGAGGCAGGGAGAATAGCAGCACGAATTAGGAACATCACGTTAAAGCGTGTAGGCGAGGATTCATTTCAGATTTATAAAACAGATTCTTTCAAAAATAAAAAGATTATTAATCAATAATTATACATTTTGAATAAATTTTTATAATAAGTAAGCAATATGATTGACATTACTGCTTTTGTCTTTCAGAGAATTATAATTTAACTTGATTTCTGCTTAAATATTTATTTACTCCTCGCGATATAAGAGGAAGAAGGGAAGGAAAGAAGAAAAATAAAAAATTAATCAGAACATACGATTTAACACGATAACAGAGGAACGCGCACAATTTTCTCATGCCAGATCACATCATTAAAACCAAAAGTTATAATAATGATGATAAAACTCTGTAAGAAAAAAATCTCTACTTTTTTAGATCACATGTTAAGTTGAATTTTCTCTCTTTTGCCTTGATTTCATATAAACCACATACAACTCTGTGTTCTTGACCTTAACAGATTGCGAGTGCGTTCCTTGCTTAAAATGTCTCTTTAGTAAACAGCCATTTACATCTTACATTTTTGTTTTCTTAATTGACTTGAGTAACAGTTTAAGAGTAATAACGGATAATATGTTTAATTGCAGTCCTTATTCCTGCTTTCATTTCCATTGCCAAGGAAATGAAAAGTTTAAGGACTCGCTACGAATACATTGTAAAGTTTTCACCGTGATTTTTTATTTTCTAAAAATAACCAAACTGCTTGCATAGAGGTCTTTTTATACTGTAAAAGGCTCCAGTATCGTAATACAATTTCTATATCCTATTTCAACCCAATTCTACCGGAATAATTTGTTTTGTGAATTAAAAGAAAAAATAGCCGTTATATAAAATGAAATTTGCCATAAAAACAAATTTTCTTTATAAAAAAAAAAAAAAAAAAAAAAAAAAAAAACTTTAATTTAAACACACTGTTTCAATTTTTTTTAATACCGCCAACAACTCACCAACAACAAAAAACACACACAAGCTTTAAAATTCAAAATCCAAAATATTTTTAATTCAAAATCTAAACGCTTCTTCTTTTCATTCAATCGTAATGCCATTAAAGGAACTGCTTATTTGTTTATTGATTTCCATGGCATTTTGTACTTACTGAAGACTTCTGACACCTACGTTCTTGCTATATTTATGGAATTTCTAAAGCAAACCTTTAAAAGCAGATATAATAATCTTAATAATAAAAGCTTTTTTTTTTTTTTTTTTTTTTAAAAATCTGCCTTTCATGAATGAGCTTTATGGCTGTTAAATCGTGCAGTCTGATTTCTAATTCGTTACATCTTTCGATAAATTTGTGGTATTTTTACATATATATAGTGTTACAAAGCTGTAATATGTAAAATATAAATAGTCCATATCAGGATATAATTGCTGACGTGAAAGATAACTTTTCCCTTTTCAAGTTCTGGAGGAAGAAAAACACGAATCGAGTCTTTCGAACTCGTCATGGTTGTAGACCGAAATCAGCACTGAACTGATTTGGTGAAGTTATCACAAGAGGATCTCCTCTATGAAATTTGGTGAATTTTTTCAAGATATCAGCCCCCCCCCCTCCAATCAAAAAAACTAAGCATCCCTTTAAAACTTTAAAAAAGACCAAGACTACTAATTAGGAAATACTGGAAGGGAGAGAATTCAAGAATAAACGTTCTTATTCCCATAAAATACACCCGGGTTATCTTTCAACAAAGTGCAAACAACTAAAGTTCTCGCACAGGCACTCCAAAGAAAACAAAAGCATTCACATTCTTCACCAAAGAAAACTAAGATCTCCCGTTCCATAAAGAGTTATTGAACAAATTTATCTGTCCCTCTCCGGGAGACGCAATCGCAAAATTTACGACTTCTGCCTCGATGGGCTCATTCCATTAATCAGACTTAACGTAGCAGGTACTCGAGGGGTGCGACAGAAAAAGAAGAGGTGTAAAAAAACTCGATGGTCATAGACTAGTTTACACCTCTCTTCAGACGGTGTAGATGGAGTGGACTTTATCAGCGACGATTTAGTACTTGAGAAAGAAATTTCCCACAAGAAGAAAGGAGAAGCTATGGTAGTTTTTTTATAAGACCAGAACTCTCGAAAAAGAATGGAAATAAATTACTACTACTATTTAGTTAGTATGGAATGCGGCTTACGGATATAAATGCCATATGACTTAAGTAGTTGTAGGGACAAGAAGCGTCCACATTAAAATCCATCATCAAACGGTGCTTCTTATATTCGCAATGTAAACGCTTTCATGTCTAACGTTAAAATCACAAGTACAAGAAACTATGCGAATGAAACTAATTGGCGTTTTAATATCTAGCGCCAGCACAACAAATAATCCAGGTATATCATTTAGTTGACAGATTTTTTTTTATGTGATAGCTCCATGACTATAACCTAGCTCCACGAATATAATCACGGGAATCTGCACGAAATTTAGGTCGTTGTAAAATCCCAATTAATATAAAAACTTCAGCCTAATTTATATTGTTTATTTTCTACCAGAAAGCAACTATTTATTTTCCTATTACTTTTCTATAAACAGATTTACATATCAGTGTCCTGAAAGTAGCGTATTGGATAAAATTGAAATATGCCGGCAGTTTATCAATCAAAAGATAAAGCAAACGGCAAACAATTTATTACTGATTATAAATAATCTCTTACCAAGAGCTTTGCAGACTGAGCAAACTTATAACAAAGCATCAACACTTCAGATTTTATAATTGGCAAATTATTAAGAATTAATTTAAAATGAGTAATTCATTTCAAAGGAGCACTATATTTTTGTAGGTAAATTTCTGCATAGCACTTTTTAATATTTAAGTTCGCTTACATTTCTTTGGTGTTAAGTCACTTGCCGACCTGATCGGTACAGCAGCCGTTTGGCTTATACGGTAGTATTTCTATAAAGAAGTGAGAACCGTTTTTCCATTTCTTGTTACTGACGTTGATTGTCGCCTTTGATATTTGTACGTGTATAATGTTTGTGCGCGGGACAGGGACACTTCAAATACTATTGAGCCGAAAGTTCTCTCGACAGATTTGATGGCAAGGGAAGAGAAGTGCGAAACTCTTGGATCCATCCAATAGGGTTAAAACCACTGAGTTGGCTTCCGACTCAATGTATATGCATATAATCGAAACGGAATTGATTGCTAACTTAGCAAAAAGTATCTGGAGTTTACCGAACTCGCGGGAATTAATTTGATCTAAGTAAGAATATAATATATGGGCAGAGTTGCAAGGCCCTTGGAAAAACACAGGTTCAAATTCCTTGCTTGAAACAGATTGAGGATGTTAGACATTCAACGATTTTACATTTGTTGCATATGATTTACAGATTTTTCACTTTACGCTTTCACATCTAATTTTACATAAACAATAGTATACAAAGCCTTAGTCGAGTTTTAACCTTTTGTCATTTTTCTATTTGTAACATATTCAGATATTTCCATTTCTTTTCATATTCACATGTTGTAGTTTAAGCTTACATTGTATAGCCAACTACTTCACATAATCGCTCTTTTTCAAAACTGGGGCGGAGTTATACAGTAATTTTGTGAAAGTTCTGGTGTCCCCTCACCCACTTCTTTTCGTGTATTAGTCACTTCACCTACTAACTTCACTTACTAATTCCTACGGAATCATTTCATAACAACTTTCGCCTATTTTTGCAGCCACAGCCATTCACACGGGATTGCTATTTTATGTAAATGTTTCGATTCCTAAGAATTTGTAAGATGGGCGATAAATTTAAT